CTAATAAATAATGGACAAGCAGCAAATAATGGAATGCCAGTATTGCTGCATTTTAGCACAAGACAGATTGATGAACCAATGCTGTATGCATGCCACTACAGCAACAAAGGTGGCTGCTAGTCAGGCATTCAACACTCATTTTCTCTGTGTTCAGCATTAAATGTGTGAATGCAGGGTGTTTGATAAGCTTCCAGAAACAACTTAACTATTAATGAAAAAAGATGATGGGAAATAAAAACTTAAGAAATTGTATTCCCTGCAAAAATGCAGTGTGAATGCTAATTGCAGAAGAACTTGCTGAAAAACAGCTAAAATTAGTTAAAACATGCTGAAATGTAGCTGAAGTGAAAGAACAAGACTAAGTTAGCAGAACAAAGCAGAAACAACTCATATTTGCTGAATTAGGTTTAAATTAGCAGAAATGAGCAAATAAACTAGGATAATTAGCTAAAAAGCTGACATTAGCAATAAATAGCTGAAAGTAGCTGAACATGCAGAAAGAAAGAAGCTTAATCTACCAGAAGGAAGTGGGAAGAGCTGAAATGAGCTCAAAAAATGTGGAATTAGTTAAAAAAGCTAAAATGTGCATAAAACAGCTAAATTGTAGCTGAAATAACAGAAAACCTGAAAAAAGCTGAAAGGAGCATAACAAGCTGAAATTAGCATAACAAAGTTATTTGGGCTGAAATTAGCATACATTACAAAGCAAATCTTGAATTTATCTGAAAACAGCTGCAGTGAGTTAAAAATGCTGCAAAGCTAGCTGGAAAAGGTAAAACAAGCTAACATAAGAAAGCTGCAAGAATGCATGCTTGCCCATTTATACTAAAATAAGCAGAAATTAGCACAAACATTTATAAATTAGCTGAAAAAAACTACAATTAGCAAAAGCAGCTCTAAAGTAGCTAGAGTAGAAATAAGTTAAAATTACCAGAAGGAAGTGGAGAGAGCTTTTTTTTTTTGCTGAATTAGGCTGAAAAAGGTGAAATGGGTGCACAAAATGTGGAATTAGTTAAAAAGCTTAAATTAGCACTAAACAGTAGCTGAAGTAGCAGAAAAAAATTAATTTTGCAGAAATAAACTGAAAGAAACAAGCTGAAATTAGTAGAAAGACATTAGAAGAAGCACAAAAATGCTGTAGTAAGCAGAAATAATTTAAAAGGAGCACAAAACAGCTGACAAAAACAGCTGAATTTAGCTGAAAGTAGCTAAAAAAAAAGTATAAGTTTGCAAAAGGAAGCTGAAAGAAGCTGAACCAGAACAAAATGAGAAAGGAGCAGTAAAATGTTGTAAACAGGTAACAGGTCTCTCTTGTAAATGATTCATTGAGGCTCAAGGGGAACTAACCTGTATAAATAAAGTTTGCATGAATGAAAACAGATCTAAAGATATGAAGGATGTAAAATGAGCTCAGTTCATTTTCTATGAGAAAAAAAAATGGCAGAAAAGGCTAAAAATGTCAAAAAGCTAAAGTTGCACCAATACCAAAAGTCATAGCAGGATTGTCCTGAAAGAGCTGAACATTTTGATTGAAGATTTGATGACATTGATTGAAAACTGTGGGAAGAAAATCGTGACAAAAATGTATGGAAGAAAAATGGATCACATTAGGGTGAGTTCTTCATAAACATTCACACAAGATCTCTAAGTTTGGAAGTTTGATATGAAATATGGGCTATTTTGTAATCCCAACGCATGGCAGTCAGATCATCTGTTAGATTGTTGTTATTGCAACTTTAAGTCAGTGATAGATGACAATTACTGGGAAGAGTCCAAGCAGCCTGCCCCTCATGCTGGTTTTGTTTGTAGTTTTACTTTTCAGAGAACAGTGGCTCCTGTCACATTTTGCTTCTGTTGGTGCTCAGTAACAAACATGGCTCTTGTCTTTGTGTTTTAAAATGTGTTTAATCGAATAAACATGATAGCAGCTCATTTGATGAAAGATTTATTTCATATTGTGGCATATTTGGAATCTCCCTTGGAGTCCAAGAGTGTGATCTCAGAATCTGTTTAATCAGAATCCAATAGTTTCATCATTTTTTGGTTTGTTTTATGTTCCAATATTGAATCAAAGCTATGGGGGGAAAACTCATAAATATCGTTGTTGACAGTTAACATCACATAAGTTTTCAATGCTGTTCATATCATCTGAGAGTTATTGTAATGTTGTGGCTAATTGTAGACATTCAAGGACCAGTTTTTAAAGCATGTCTGATAAAGAACAGCACAGTGGAAAACGTTATTATAGTATCCCACAGCACCGACTGAAGTGAGTGTTGTAGTTGCAGTAGGTTGAATGAAAGGGAAAATCCATTAGGTAATAGTGCCATCTTCCATTTTAGTTTTTTGAAATGACAATTGTTGGAAAACTTGAAATTGCACAAAAAGCCCAATGAAATCAAGTCAAGTCAATGTTATTGTCATTCGCATCATTTTGTGGTACATGAGGTGGAACAAAATTATGTACACAAAGTTCTAGTTACACCCAGCAATAGCAAAAATATAGTGTAAAAAAAACCCCAGTATATAAGGATCTAAGATATAAACTAAGATATACGCTAAACAAACACCAAACGGTACGTTAAGAGACCTAAGATATATGCCAAACACTAATAACATAAAAATAATATGAGATAACAACAGCAGCCCAAACATGAGTCTATGATGAGCAGATGGGTATGAATGAATACAACAGCATGAATAATCAGCAGCATAAGATCAACAGCATGGATAATCAGTAGCACAGATAAGTCACATATCACCAGTTAAAGAGGCATTACAGTTATTATCCTGGTTAGGGATTCATGAGTCTAACAGCTTCAGGGTAGAAGCTGTTCCTCAGTCTGGTGGTTCTACACTTAATAGTCCTCAACCTTCTGCCCGAGGGGAGTGGGGCAAAAAGTGTGTGTGCTGGGTGAGTGGGGTTCTTCATGATGCAGGTGGCCCTCTTCCTGCATCTGGAGATGTAGATGTCTGTGATGGTGGGGAGACCGACTCCAACAGACTTCTGTGCAGCCTTCATCACTCACTGCAGAGCTTTTCTTTCTGCAGCTGCGCAGCCTCCATGTCACACGTTGATGCTGGAGGACAGAATGCTCTCCACTGCACACCTGTAGAAGGAGGTGAGGACTGAGCTTCCCAGACCAGCTCGCTTCAGCTGTCTGAGGAAGTAAAGCCTCTGATGAGCTTTCTTGATCAGGCTGGTGGTGGTGTTGCCCCAGCTGGGGTTGTCATTCAGGTGCACATTCAAGTATTTGTAAATAATTAAAAAAAATAGCAAATTGCCATGTTTTTGCAGTTTCATCCATCCATTATCTTTACCCGCTTCTTCCATTTTGGGTCACGGGGGTCGCCAATGCCCATGTCCAGCAATCACTGTACGGGGGGGATACCCCCTGGACGGGTCGCAAGTCCATCACAGGGCCACATGGAGACAAACAAGACAAACAACCATTCACTCTCTCACTCACACCTAGGGACAATTTAGAGTTACCAGTCAGCATAACATGCATGTTTTTGGTCTGTGGGAGGAAACCGGAGTCCCCGGAGAAAACCCACGCATGCACGGAGAGAACATGCAAACTCCACCCAGAAAGGCCCCTGGACCGGGGTTTGAACTAAGGACCTGCTCGCTGAGAGGCAGCAGCTCTACCAGTTGTGCCACCGTGCTGCCCCATTTTTGCATTTTATTATATCTTATTTTTTTAAATAATGGAATTGCTTAAAATTGTTTCTAATCATTGGGAAAATAAACTTTCTGATGTAGACAAACTTTTTCAGAGGTTCAAGAAAATATAGTAAAACAACCAAACAAAACTTTGGTCATGGTGTCCAACTTAGCACAAACAAAACGTTGGTTCCCCTGAAATTTCCAGTGTATTTAATATTTCAAATAACTCTCAGACTAAAGTCTAACTTGCTACAACATGTTTACCTTTAACATTTGATAAAAGAAGGTAGAGCAAACACTTTTCTTTGACAGCATTGAGTTATGTAGAAATACAAACTTTTATGTTTAGCTTTAATTGGAGCACACACACTTTTTGCCCTGCTCCCCTCAGGCAGAAGGTTGAGGAACATTAAGTGTAGAGCCACTAGACTGAGGAACAGCTTTTACCCTGAAGCTGTTACTCATGAATCCCTAAACCAAAACAATCACTATGAAAAAATAAAAAAAATAATCGCTGTAATCAACTAGATTGTTGATATGTGCTGCTGATTATCCATGCTGCTGATCTCATGCTGCTGATTTATTTCATGCTGCTGTGTTCATTCGTCCCCATCTGCTCACACAGACTCATGTTTGTGCTGCTGTTGTTCAGCGTATTGTTTTGCACTATAAAGTGTTTAGTGTATTCTTAGTTTAGCATTTTTCTTAGCTCATATCTTAGATTTTCTTTTACAATTAATACATTTGATGGATGTAACTGGGACTCTGTATACACAATTTCACTCCATCACATGTACCACATGTGATGCGAATGACAATAAAATATCTTAACCTTGACCCAACGTGGCATCTATCTCATTGTAGGGGTCTGTGTGCAGCTAGTTAATGTAAATGCAATCTACTTGCCTTAAAAAGTGTTAAAATAAAAAAAAAAAGGTTTGGCAATGGTTGGATTTTTTTTTTACTCTAATTTCTAACCACAAAACATAAAATAAAATAAAAATAAAAAAGACATCTTAAGCCATTAAACAGAACCTTCATACATTCTATGGTAATCTAATAAAGCATTCAAGGTACATTAGACGAAATTCCATTTAATATTAGTGAAGCCTTCACTTCTTTCTTTCCATTTTCTCTTGTGATATAATCATTATAACTTTATATTGCTTGAAATTGTTAGGATGGAAAATGATGAGCTAATAACTACAGAAATAAATTACTCAGCAATTTTCTCTCATTTTGCTTTTGTCTGCTTTATAGCTTTTCTTATCTCAATATTTCTAACCGTTTCCTATATCTGTTTCCTTTGTTTGTTTCATTTTTTCTTTAGGTTATAAAGCTGTCATTTGAAGAGTTTGATTTGGAGAGAGGATACGACACCCTGACAGTGGGAGACGGAGGGAAAATAGGAGACACTCGGAGGGTGCTCTATGTGTAAGCACCAGTTAAATATTTCTGGCCTATAATTGGCATGCGGCAGTAAAGAACAAGCATAAAGGTGTCAATCATAAAGAAAACTGGAGACACGAGGGTAGCATTTACCCCTACATACTACATGTGTTGGATTGTGCCAGTCCTTTTACACCGAAAGGGAATGTTCAATTATTTATGATCCAAACTCCATACCTTTATGTATTTATAAAAGAATGAAAGGATTATGAAACAGCTGCACTTGGAATGCTTTAACACATTGTTTTGAATGTTTGTAGACTTACAGGCTCCAGCGTCCCTGATCTCATTGTGAGTTTGTCCAATCAGATGTGGCTACACCTGCAGTCAGACGACACCATCGGTTCTGCAGGATTCAAGGCGATTTATGAAGGTACAAACATATGTTCAGTTATTCCAAGATTTTAAATCACGCTCTTTCATATTTTTCAAGGTTATACACATTCAGTATGAACTATGTACCAACAACACATGACTGGAAGATGTTAGTAAATGTAGCACCGTGAACCTGCTGGAGTTTTATGTATTTTTTAACACAGATATAAAAACAGCAGAGTCACACCTTGAACGTCTTAAAGCTAAACAGAGTTTGCAGTTATTGCATTTGTCAAGCCACAGACTGGCAGCTGAATTTGGCTCTGGGTTTTTAACTAGCTTATTCTGAGGCGTTTATAGTTCTCACTTGAAACCTGTTTTGTGATTGGACTGATTTTGTCCCCCCCCCCCCCCCCCCCTTCCCCAAACGGGATGTAAAAATGCTGTCACTCCTTCAGATCTGTCCTCTTTCTGAGTTGCCCGTGATGGCAACAATTTCTGCAGCATGCTGCCACCATGCAGACATCACCAGCTTTAACTTCAGGCAACGTTCTGTTGGATGATAAGAAGGGTCATGGCTGCAAGGCAGGCTGTTCTTCTTAATGGCCAAAAAGTGCAGTTATTCCCTTATTCTCATAGCAAATGTTCTGTTTTATACAGGCACATTTTGTTTAACATAAGTGGTTCTTTTTCAGGGGTCTCTATCGTTCCTTGGGATTGAATCATTTCTTTCATTTCTCATGAATTCTGCTGACCTTTCCCTTCTTGTAGGTTTGCTCCAGTTCCTAGTTTTCTCCATTTTATTTTTTTTTTTAATTGGGTTTTATGTGATCTAATGGGTGTATTTTTCCTTAAATGTATACTTTGTTCAAATCCTAATACTACTTCTTTGTCCCTGACCAGAGTGTCTTGTTTTTCATTCTGCTTTTAGCTTAATGATGCCTCCTAATTAGTGGTGTTTTCGACTCAGGGGACCTTTGCAACACGTGTGTATCCACGGAGAAAATCTGAGACTTAAGATTACAGATGGGATCATTTGCCATGAGCAAATTTTTCATTAGAAAAGCATATTGTAATTTAGGCCTTTAAAACATTAAAATACAGTATTACAGTTTTGAAAATGAAGATTTAAAAATATGTTTCATTGCTATTTTGTTTGGGATGTTTTTTTCATGGTCTATCGCACAACAGACGTTTAAAAGTTTATCGTTTGAATTGCAATTTTGAGCAAAACCTGCAGATAAACCCTTTTGGTTGATTGATTTTATATGTCAGTTTGAAGGCGTTGAAGGCCATTCCACTGTACAGAACACTAACAGTTCTGTAATGATAGACTGTTTCATCAGAGGAGCTCCTAGCTTCAGGTCTTTCTTCATTGTTTTTATTGGATTAAAGTCAGGACTTTGACTTGGCCATTGCAAAATATAAGATTCATTCTTCTCTCAGTTTTTTAAAGTGACTTACTCTAGTGTTTTGGGGCGGCTGTGGCTGAGTGGTTAGAGCGGTCCTCCTCCAATGGGAGAGTTGAGGGTTCAATTCCACTAGCAATTACATGTTAAATGTCCCTGGGCAAGACACTGAAGCCCTCACTGCCTCTGATGTGTGTGCCATCGGTGTACGAATGTGATCTAAAGCACTGATTAGTCTCTATAGATTCAGATTAGAGAGCTAGAGTGCTGTATGAATGTGTGTGTGAAGGCAAATGAGTGCACAGATTGTGTTGTAAAGCACTTTGAGTATACTGCTTGGATAGAAAGGTGCCTTTTAAGTTACAGTCCATTTATCATTTTAGTTTCTTGTCTTTCACATTCTGTTGAATTTAGTTCACAGATAGTGTATTTTTATTTTTTTCAAATTATACAAGAAAAGGGAATAATTCATTAATCTATATTTATAGATTAAGGATAATGAATAAGTAAACCTTTTTTAGCCCAGATGCAATAAACTGGATCAAACAGTGCTACATCACCAATAAATAAGATCGAACATATCCTACCTGCATTATTTTCCACTTACTGAGTATAATTATTAGAATACATTTTTTTCTTCTTTCCACAAGCAATGCTTTCATTTGTGCAAATTATTTATTTCCAATTGAAGAGCTCTTCATGGAAAACAGTGTTTTTTATATATATACTACAGCTATTCAGAGGTTTCCTGAAAATTTCCCAAATATTAAAACTGAAGACAGAGACCAAGAACTTATCATTTGTGATGTTTGCATGCAAGCTAAGGCTGTACAATAAGCAATGTACATGATGTTATGAGTCAAACACATAAAGTAAAAAGTACATTTATATATATGTATATTGAGAAACACATACAAATAATACTTAATGATCTCCAGAAGATGTTTTCCCAGAACCAGCCAACAACTGCCTGTGGTATTATTTGTGTGTCCTTGGGTGGAAATATGTGATGCTGTCAGATGCAATAATGTCACAACATCTCTGCTTTGATCAGTCCTACCCCCTGAGTTTTCTTTTTCAGCCCCTGTGTGGGACTGTGTTTTAATTGGCATCATGTTTGCACTTTTTTTTTATTTTTAGGCTCAGTATTTTTTACTCCTGCTCAGCACATGTGCATTATTAGGAAATAATGGCAGTATAGATATCATAAACAAACCAAGGAGGATGATCATTAAAACTTTTGCTAAAATGCATGCATATATATATATATATATATATATATATATATATATATATATATAACCAATTTGCTATGAAAATGTGATGTATTAAACACAAAGCTGATGGGAATACAAACAAACAAACAAAAATGTTTGATAAATCAATTTTATCAACACTTTCTGTATGTGATACAATTCATAAATCTGCATAAACACTTATGTTTTTATGTTCTTTTTTTTTATACAAACAAGAGTAAATTAGTTGCATGGCTTCAAAGGAGTAAAACTCTACAAATGAAATATAGTAACCTGCAATCTGGCATTGATTCCAATTCAAGAGACTCTGTAAACTCTGCAAACAAGTCAGAAAACAAAGACGGATCAGAATAAGCACAATGATACAATAAATGAGTAAGAGAGGCAGTAGTGACAGATTTTACCAGGGGTTCAATATCACGGATATCTATCCTGACACTCATCATGTGCGTGACAGCCAGCTGTGGGCCACAAACCCATCTGAGGTCTCTTTATATTCTATTCTTGTGGATGTTCTTACAGCCTAACTGATAAAAAAAATAGTAAAATTGTAAAAGGATATCCACACACACACACACTTGAGTCAGAGTCAGTCAGAGTCAGAGATTCTTTATTGTCATTCGCATCGCATGTGGTACATGTGGTGGAGCGAAATTATGTACACATGGTCCCAGTTACATCCAAATGGAATAACCTATCTTGATATCTCTTTGTCTAAAGTGAATCCAGGGGCTTAGCGTAGCATGTGTTACATGGTGACAAAACGTCTGATATTATTCCAGATGTCAGAGCAGAGAAGGAGCGGTAAAAGCAATGCATAACAGTGCACTTATGTTAGGAAAAGAGAGGATTAAAAGCCTTTAAAAAAAAGTAATACTAACCACATCAGAAGTATTGTTAATTCTTCAAAAATAACAGGTTAAAAACAAAAAAAGAAACTTGACTTGTTTTTTTAACTTTTGCTGATCACCACGTCCTGGATGACTGAATTGTTACCAACATACTGTTAGTTTGAGGTGCAAGCTAATAAAGCTTCATACATTCTAGGAGCAGGAGCAGATGGCAGCAATAATTTTAAAATATGTACAGCCAGGGCAGAAGTTTAATATCATTCAGTAAACTGTACTGTATAGCACAAACATCAGTATTTCTCTTGTAAAATGTTTTCTTCTCGTCAAGAGTATCCTTGGATTAGACAGAGTGTGTTTGTGTACTTCCAATTATTGTTTTGTCTTTCACAATTAAAACTGAATTGCAGCAGAATTATCCTGATGGCAATTAACTGTAAGGAGGGAAGCAATTAAATACATTTCTCACACATTGTACATCCCAACACAGCTGAATAACAAGAGACAGACATGTTGATGGCTTTCTCTTGTTCTTTTAAATACATTTCACGATTCCCACTTCTGACCGAAGCGTTTGCAACAAAACATTAGTCTGTTTAAAAATTTCAATTAATATGTCAGTAAAAAAATAAAATAAAAACACAACAAAAATTAAATAAATTCACAAACTTTATAACACCATAAAATATTGTATTACTTTATCATTGTCTATAGAAAAAAAACAAAAAAATCTTTAAATATTTTTTTAAATTACAAATTCCTTCATTGACCACTTCTCAACTTACTGTTCATATATATATATATATATATATATATATATATATATATATGCATTTTTTTACACAAGTTCTTTTTACATTTAAAGGACTCTAAAAGTCTGAGTTTCCATGAGTTTGTTTCCAGCTTCATAACTATCAAGTTTTGCGTGTTATTGTCATTTATCTACATTTTTACTGACAAAAGCAGATAACCCTCCATTTGCATGTTATTATGCCACATGTCGACATGATTTATCGCAGGTGTGCAAACACGACTGTCTCTTTGTGTAACAGAGATCGACAGGGGAGGCTGTGGTGATCCCGGGGTACCGGCATTCGGTAGTCGTAGCGGTAATCGCTTTCAACACGGTGACGTGTTGACCTTCTTTTGTCGGTCTGCGTTTGAACTGGTGGGAGAAAAAACCATCACGTGCCAACACAATAACCAGTGGTCAGGCAACAAACCCAGCTGTGTCTGTAAGTACACACATGCTTTTTCTTTTTAGGTGCTAGCTGTTTTTCTAATTTGTTTTTGTGTTTAATTTTTTTGTTACTGTTTTTATTGTCATTTAGTGTTTTATGCACCTGATAACATCCCTACTCAGACACCTACAAATGCTGTCATTCTTTATTTCTTCCTTCTCGTAGTTTCTTGTTTCTTCAACTTCACGGCTCCATCAGGGACTGTTTTGTCCCCAAACTACCCCGAGGAGTACGGCAACAACCTGAACTGTGTGTGGTTGATTATCTCGGAACCAGGAAGTCGCATACATCTCTTCTTCACTGACTTTGACCTTGAGCCACAGTTTGATTGGTTGGTGGTCAAAGATGAAGGTAAGGATGTCTTAATAATTCATTTTATTTCATTCTTGCAGTACTATTTCTCATGTTGTGTGTGTGTGTGTGTGTGTGTTTGTTAGTTATCATAAATTAAAGCATCACAAAAAAGTTAGATGTTTTTTGGTGAAACACCAATTACCTTATAAGAGAAAGTTGAAATGAATTTAGGTCGAGGCCTTACTGGTAGATGTAATGAAAGATAGAGTCGTTAGGAGGGAGTGGTGGCACAGAGGTTAGAGAAGGTAGGCCTGTGATCGGAAGATTGCCGGTTCAACTCCCGGTACTGACAACATCAAAATGTGGGTGGGAAAGGTGAAGCAGCCACACCTGCCTCCACCCTTATTTGCCCCACTCTGGCTACTTGAGCAAGGCCCTTAACCCCCACCATCTGCTCCTCCAGGCACCCTAGATAGCAACTCTCTGCTCCACAGAAGGCTGTGGTAGCTCGGTGGTCTGTGTCAGAAAGGGTGTCTGGTGTAAAATTAATTGCCAAGTCTTCATGCGACAGTTCGCTGTGGCGACCCCTGAAGAAGGGAGCAGCCGAAAGATGTTTGCTTTTTTTTTCTTTCATCTTTTTTAGTATATTTCTCTTTATATAAAACACAACAGCCATACTGCTGTCCCACTTTTCTTTATCGATTCGAGCAGATTTGGGGTAAGCCTTTGTTTGTCTTGCTAGACGAAGTTTTGTATAATTGAGTGGTTTTAAAGCTCTGCAGGATCTTTGGTGTTAGACTTGTTTCGAAAATTGCAGAGTGATAACTGCAGTGGTCAAACTGAAGTCAAGATGTTGCTTTTAAGACTTTCATCTTACTGTGATTAGGGAGAAATTTCTGACACCAGTCTGCATTTAGACATTTTAGACGAAACACTCTGGGAAACTAATAATGTGCTTATAATATTTGTGACCTTGGACCAATTTCAGTAGACATTGTTATCAAAAACAATTTGGCTAGATCCAAGTTATGCCCTCATTTAACTTGTGTTCAACTCAAGTTACTTTAAAAATTACATTTAAAAACTAAAATAGTGAACAGTGGTTAGAGCTGTCACCTCACAGCAAGAAGGTCACAGGTTCGCCTCCCAGCCTTTTCAGAACACATTTATTGATTGAATATTTTGGAATAGGAGAATTTTGTGGATAATGACTAAATGTGGCATTTATTAAACCGTTGTGAAATGTTCTTCAAAAACACCGTTCAGCTGTTCAGAAAATCACTGAACAAATTTGAGCATTCTTTTGAAATCGAATGCACCACAGAAACATAGTCAAGATAACAGTTAAAAATAAACTCAGCTTTGTCACAGTACTTTATTATTGATTTCAAAACAACAACCAAGTGAATTATTAATGGTACTGAAAAGCTATTGGTTTCTGATTGTTTTGCCTTGATAACGTACACTAAGGACTTTTATGCAGATTTTAATTTTCTATTCTTGAGGAAGATTTTCACATATGGCACATATTGCATTGCTGCTGTCCCAAGCAGATTCTCATGGTTTGAGCTTATTTAACCAAAATCAAATGTTTATCTACCCATGGTCTTACATGACATGGACACTGATAGCTTTGTGTTATTTTGCACATTTGAACCTTTGATAAACAAGTTCCAAATTCAAGTTTCCTATCCAATTTCTGACAAAAAAAACCCAACAACATAATTTTCTACTTGGTATCAGTAGGTTCAATACCCGTCTAAAAGAAAGCCAATTATCATAAGGGCCTGTTTTTAAATAATGTACGGTACAAATTGTCAGCCTAGACAAAAATACATGCCATTATGTTATTTAAAAGGAAAGGACATGAAAACAGACTGCTACAAAAGACTTTTCACTGGATATTTCCTTTTAGATACAGCAACATAAAATCCTACCCTTCTTTCATCTGTTGTCACAATGATTTCCTACTCCATGCCTCTGACAATTGGCACAATAACTAATGAGTAAAAAGCCTTTTGGTTTACTGGAGAACAAAGAAATGTGCACTTCACATTTCAGTAAATGTATGGCTTAATTGGGTTAAAGTGTCTCATTTATGGTATAAAAACAAAAAGTTATATAATCCTTAACTATTACAAATATTTTTAACCTTTAAATGCAAATGTCTACGTCTGTTTTAATATTGGTGCTTACTCAAATTACACAGAATTAACTAACAGTATTATACCTTTGTTGTTGTTGTTTTTTACTGTTTACATGCCCACTGTAACTGTGGTTCAAACATAATCAGTTTTAACAGGATATCATGTATATCTTCTGCAGAGTAACACTGTAATAACATGAATAAAAAAATTAAGCCATAAGCATGAAAAAAATCTAAAACAGTAACTCACTGAAACAGAAGTTACTAACAATTGTTTCAAAGTAGCATTCTTTCTTTGGTCAGTAGATCTGACACTATCAAAGTGCTGTTTTGCATCATCCATTGAAAAATTAAGAAATGATTTTATTTGTATTACAACATAGTTGCACATTGTTGGGGCAATGCGGGGAAATAGGGAATTAAGAAGGGATGTAAGATTTGAATCCTAAAACTTGTCAAAACAAATGAATGGTGGTATTGATTTAACATTTGGCCTTCAAACTTCTGAGTGGAGCACTGGCATTGACTGCAATCTGTCAAGAAGAACAACTCAAAACATCATGAATCACTGTCATAAGACAGATCAGTGACACAAGTGGTATAACATGATGATGTCCTTTGTTTCAAACATAAAATCAAAACCTAAGTACACTGACGTATCGTATATATTCTTGCTTAAATAATATGATTCATAGTTACAGAATGCATCACTTTTTCTTGTGCTGGGTAAAGATGAAGATAGGATGCTGTATCCAGGTATCAGTAGTAACAGTATGCATGTATACAAAGTTTACATATTACCTTTCAAATATTTTCTAAAATTAGAATTAATTGAAAATATAGTGGGTTCTCTTTTCACGGCAGCATATTTAATTGGAAACATTGTGCCAGTTTTATTATAAACTCTGTCACTGTTTTAATAATGTTTTATCTCCTAATATGTTTGAAATGAAAAACAAAATGTAAAATGTATTAATAAGGGTGTCTGGTGTAAATACAATTGTCAAGTCTTTTGCAAGCTAGTTCACTGTGGCAACCCCTGAAGAAAGGAGCAACCAAAAGACGACAATAATAATAAAAAAACCGAATGTTATTCCAAACAGCCAACATCATATTGATCATAAATCCACATGAAAATTGCTGATGGTTTGTATCTCTTAGACTGAAAGCTTTTATCTATTAATGTGTACCTCACAACCTTAAGTATAATAAAAATTGTTGCTGGTCTACTTGTAAAGCACTTTGCCATGTGATTATTATTGATTGTGAATTGAGTATAAACCTGTAAAATGCATTCATTTTTTAAATTCAGTTCCATTCAGTTTATTTATATAGCACCAAGTCACAACAGAAGTTATCTCAGGGCAATACAGAAACATTAACAAAAAATAAAAATGCCCATTAATAAAAGTTATCTATCTAAGGAAGCCAGCAGGTTGTGTTGAATCTTCAGTTTGTTGCAGTTTCCCATCCTGAGAAAGCCCGATGGCAACAGTGGAAAGAAAAAAACACTCTATTTTAACAGGAATAAACCTCCAGCAGACTTTTTAAAAAGTCTGAATACTACATCATTTCTCACCAATGTCCTGTGTTTAAGCTGTTAACCACAATCCACTGCCCCTTATACATTTGTTTGCATAAATTACACATTTTCCATATACATTGTGCTATGCTTGTTTATAACCATAAACTCATTCTTAATGATTGTTTAAAATTAAAATTAAAAAAAGTCTAAATATGAGTTCTTCATCAATATTTATATTTAAAATGTTATAAAATTATCATATGAATTAAAATTGTCATTAAAAATGCAAAGCTTCAAATGGAAGTAAAGAAGTAAGTTAAAAGTCACCTTTAAATAAACATAAGTAAAGACAGTAAAATGTACAGTAGTCCCTCGTTACTTTGTGGTTCGACTTTTGCGGACTCGCTGTTTTGCAGTTTTTCAACTTAAGATCGGACATGATGCGATTGGCTGATCGCTGGATGAGCCACATGACCTGCATGGATTTTTAAATTTAAAATAAATTATTTTATATTATTTAGCACCTGCTAAACTCTAAATTCTCTAAAAAAGCACAGCATGTCAAGATCTCCACTCTGCAGCAGAGAAGTGGGCGTGGCCGAGAGCGCTGGCACGATGCAGAGAGCAGCAGGTGGAAGAGAGCGGAGATCATGACATGCTTTGCCCTTTTAGAGCATTTAGAGTTTAGAAATGTTGTTTAGAATATTGCAAGAGTGTGGAAAGAGTTTAAAACACTTCATATATATACTGTATATACATATACTAATATAAACTACTACTTACTACATATACTACTATTCCTACTTTGCGATTTTTCACTTATTGTGGGTGTGGGTGCTGAGAACGGGAAACCCCTGTGATAAACAAGGGACTACTGTATTTATTATTGAACCCTTCATGTGACAAATGTAGATCATGCTGACGTTGAAGGTAATGGATGAAAGTGGCAACCGTTTCTGTAGCAACGTTAAATCTATTCCAGTTCTTGTGGATCAACAGCAGCAGCAAGTAGTGTAATATTTATGATAGTGAAGTTCTCAATATTAATAACTTTTCAGTCACATTTAATCAAGACAAGAAGATTGTTTCTATAAGTACTTACTGTCTATTTTGTGTGCATTCATTATGGTGCTGCTCGCAGTTTAGCTGTTCTTTTTCTAACAAGTACGAGGTGAATTAGTGGCGGTGGCAATTGAACTTGTCACCATCAATCATCTTCTACTTGTTTAAGTACCTTGTGAGCGTTTGTTTGTGTAGCTGAAAGTTCTTCGGTTGTGCTTTATGTACACTCCGCATGTGAACAGATTTGGACCTGCTGGGTTTTGCTTTGTGGCATGTTGGCTGTTTTATTGTGTTCCCCTCTGAATCTGGTGGATCATTGGAGAGCACCCTCGAGAGCTGAGTGTATTTTGCCAAATAAAACTGTTTCACAATTTGTCTGAGTAAATGGTCTGATGCTGTGACTCAAATGTGTCATAAAGCACTGAGGTGATGCATGGTTACATATTTTCAGACTGGTGACGAGTTTAGGGTCATTCATCTGGTACACAGTGCATGATTTAATGACTTCAGAGTGACACCTTGAAGTCACTGCAATCACATACCCCAATAGGTGATAGGTGCATTGAACACTATAATGCTTCTGCTGTGGTGATAGACTTGTCCAGGAATACATAGTTCAAATTACATTAATACAATAACACGTTTCTGTGCACATGCAATAATTACACAACATTGTATGTTTTATTGCACACATAATTTTGGAGTCAGATTGTATTACCTGCTAGAATTAAACCACACAACACACACGTTACATTTTTTTTAAGAAGAAAAAGTATTCATATTTTTAAAACTCATTTCCATCTTTACTACTTGTGATTTATTTATTTATTATTTATTTGTTGGCATTCTTCTTCTTCTTTTGGCTATTCCCTCTTCAGGGGTCACCACAGCGAGTCATCCTCCTCCATCTCACGCTGTCCTCTGCATCCTCTGTCCTCACTCCAACTACCTTCATGTCCTCTCTAACTGCATCCATATATCTCCTCTTTGTCTTTTTCCTGGCAGCTGCATTTCTAACATCCTTCTACCAATATACCCACGGTCCCTCCTCTTGACATGTCCAAACCATCTCAGTCTGACCTCCCTAACTTTATCTCCCAGTTGTTCAACCTGTGCTGTGCTTCTGATAATCTAATTCCTAAGCTTATCCATCCTTGTCACTCCGAAGGAGAACCTTAGCATCTTCATTTCTGCCACTTCCAGTGCTTTCTCCTGTCTTTTTGCCAATGCCACTGTCTCCAGACCATACAATATAGCTGGTCTCACCACTGTTTTGTAAACTTTTTCTTTGACCTTTGCTGACACCTTTTTGTCACAAATCACTCCTGAAACTTTTCTCCATCCACTCCATCCTGCCTGGACTCTCTTTTTCACTTCTTTACCACATTCCCCATTTCCCTGGACAGTGGACCCCAAGTACTTGAAGCCCTGCACCTTTGGGACCTCTGCTTCTTGTAGCCTCACTGTTCCACCTGCCTCCCTCTCATTCACATGCATGTACTCTGTCTTACTACAGCTGAATTTGATTCATTCATTTCAAGTGCATACCTCCACCTCTTCAAGTTCTCTTCCACCTGTTCCCTGTTCTCACCACAGATCACAATGTCATCTGCAAACATCATCGTCCATGGGGATTCTTGCCTGACCTCATCTGTTAGTCTGTCCATCACCAGAGCAAACAAGAAGGGGCTCCGAGCCGATCCTTGATGCAATCCCACCTCAAAACTATCTGTCACTCCTACAGTACATCTCACCACTGTCCTACTGTCCTCATACATGTCCTGTACCAGTCTAACATAATTTTCTGCCACTCCAGATTTCCTCATGCAATGCCACACCTCCTCTTTTGGCACTCTGTCATATGCTTTTTCTAAATCTACAAAGACACAATGGAGTTATTTCTGACCCTCTCTGTACTTCTCCATCAACATTCTCAAAGCAAAGATGACATCTGTGGTACTCTTTCTTTGCATGAAACCATACTGCTGCTCACAGTCACCTCTTGTCTAAGTCTTGCTTTCACAACTATCTCTCAGATCTTCTTTGTGTGGCCCATCAACTTAATTCTCCTGTAGTTGCTACAACTCTGTACATCACCCTTGTTCTTAAAAATGGGCACCAGCACACTTCTTCTCCATTCCTGAGACATTTTCTCACCCTCATATATGCCATTGAATATTTGAGTCAAAAACCTCACTGCCATCTCTCCAAAACATTTCCAAAGCTCCCCTGGTATGTCATCAGGTCCTACTGCCTTCCCCTTCTTCATTCTTTTCAGAGTTTTCCGATCTTCACCCTCACTACTCTTTCCCACTTCCTGACCCACAGTTTCTATGACCTCTACTCTTCTTTTTTTTCATTCCCTTCATTCATTAGCTCCTCAAAGTACATCTTTCATCTTCCCGTCACACTCTCCTCACTTGTTAGAACATTACCATTTTTAATAAATCTAACCTGTTGCACATCCTTTCCAGCCTGATCCCTCTGTCTTGCCAATCGGTACAAGTCCTTCTCACCCTCTTTAGTGTTCAGTCTCCCATACAACTCATCGTATGCCCTCTCCTTTGCCTCAACTTCTTGCCTCTTTGTTCTATGTCCCATCTCCTTATATTCCTGTCTCATCTCTTCAGTCCTCTCACTGTCACATTTCTTCTTGGCTAATCTCTTTATTTGAATGGCATCTTGCACTTCACTATTCCACAACCAGGTTTCCTTATCATCCATTCTCTGTCCAGATGACACACGAGTACCTTCCTACCTGTCTCTCTAATTACTGTTACTGTAGTAGCCCAGTCATTTGGAAGCTCTTTCTTACTACCCAGCGCCTTTAACAGCTCCTCTCTGAATTTCTCACAACATTCTTCCTTCTTCAGCTTCCACCATTTGGTCTTCTTCTCCAGATTTACTCTTTTTCTCTTCTTCACAACAACAGTCATTCTACACACAACCATCCAATGCTGTCTGGCCACGCTCTCCCCTGCCACAACCTTACAGTCCCCAATCTCCACCAGGTTTCCTCTTCTACACAGAATGTAGTCGACCTGCGTACTCCTTCCTCCACTCTTATAGGTCACTCGATGTTCCTCCCTCTTTTGGAAATAGGTATTGACTATAGCCATTTCCATTATCTTTGCAAAATCCACCACCATCTGTCCTTCCTGGTTTCTTCCTTGACACCAAACCTACCCATCACTTCCTCATCCCCTCTATTTCCTTCATCAACATGTCCATTCAGATCTGCTCCGATCACCACTCTCTCCTCCCTCGGAATACTCTCTATCACTTGATCCAGATCTTTCCAAAATGTATCTTTCTCCTCATCACATCCAACCTGTGGAACATAACCACCGATGATGTTTAGCATCAGACCTTCTACTTCTACCTTCAGGCACATCACCCTATCTGACACTCTCTTCACCTCTACTACATTATTTGTCAACTCCTCCTTCAGGACCACCCCTACTCCATTTCTCTTTTTATCCACACCATGGTAAAACAGTTTGAACCCTGCTCCATTGCTGCGAGCTTGCTGCCCTTCCACTTGGTCTCTTGGACACATAAAACATCTACTTTTTGTCTCTGCATCATGTCAGCCAGCTCTCTACCTTTGCCTGTCATTGTCCCCACATTTAGAGTTGTAACCCTCAGTCCTACATTCTTCACTTTACTTTTCTCCCTCTGTCTCCTGACACATTTCTTTCCTCGTGGTCTTCGACTTGACATTCTAAATGGCAATATTAAAAAAAGAGATGATCAGTTAAAATTTGTCCCCCATTTTTAGTTTTTTTTCCATCGGTCTGGTCAGCATCATATTTAACCCCCCCCCCCCCCCCCTTTTTTTTAGCACAAAATATTTCTGTAACATTCTGTTCTAAATTGTGTTTCATTTTAGGGTTGTCTGAGCCAACAACATTCGGGACGTTCTCAGGAAAAGATGTCCCCTCGCAGATCGCATCAAATGCACACATTATGAGACTTGAATTTCAGTCTGACCATTCGAACACTGGGAAAGGCTTCAACATCAGCTATACGAGTACGTATATCTATCAGCCAGTCTCTGCGTGTGTTTGTCTGTCTTCAGATACATTTTATGTAAATATTTTAAATGGAAAGAGAATTTACAAAGTTTGTGTGTGTGTTGACCAAGCTAATATGTGTTAAAAGGTGTTTCTCTTTATTTAGTACAGTATCTGAAGACAAAAACAAAAGGTGTTCCTCCACAATTTTCTCACATTACTCTTAACAAATGGTTAGTCAGCAGTGACACCATAGAGACCAATATTGGTTGCACTCAGCCCTCACCTCCTGATGACCAGTGGTAATATTCTAGCAGCATAAAGAATACTTTCTGAAGTCCCACAATCTCTTCAGTTTAATTGTCATTAAGGGACAGATTGTTGTCCCCTCATCAGTTCACTAACTGTTCCACCTCTGCTCTGTAAGATTATTCATCTGCACCACTGATGAGTCCCACTGCTGCTGTACCATCAGTGAACTCTGCATCCTCTGCTGGACAATAGACCATTATTTATTAGTCATCCAAAAGAAGGCCAGTTTGATTCAGCTATTTAAAAATAATTTGTACATTTATTATTTATTCTATATAATTTATAATATGAAGAAGGGAGAATATATAATTTATAATTTATACATTTGATAATTACCTCAATTTATTTCAAAACCATATTCTAAAAAAAAAAAAAAAAAATGCCACAGGTTACGTGGGACACTTAATGATCAAGTTGTATTTTTCCTGTCAAGACGTATGTAGACAAACTATATATATATATATATATATATATAAATATTTAAAATTTACAGTACAGTACAAAAATATTTTGAGCTCTCTTTTATTTTTATTTTTTGAAGGATTGTTTGTTTTTTTAAGCTAGAAGTAGTTGTTAAGAACTTTTATTTTCATTCAACCTTCATTTATACAGGTTAGTCTCAATGAGTCTCGAGGACTCATTTACAAGAGAAACCTGTTTTTGACAAAGAATGATGGAACCAGTAGACAATCATAAACAAAAGCATATGAATTGAAAAAATATATATAAATGGAAGAAAATGATATTAAAAAACTAAACAAAAACAGCTACATTATAAAGTGATGTAAAATACTAAAAATAGGAATGTGTCTGTGCTTTGCTATTAAAAAAGGCAACTTAAGGAGTGTGGTGCAGAGGTTAGAGAAGGTGGGCCTTTGATCGGAAGATCGCCGGTTCAACTCCCGGTACTGACAATAAACATCAAAATGTGGGAGAAATAGGTGAAGCACCCACACCTGCCTCCACCCTAATTTGCTCTACTCTGGGTCCTTGAGCAAGGCCCTTAACCCCCACCATCTGCTCCTCCGGGTTTCTTTGATAGCAGCTCTCTGCTCCACACAGAAGGCTGTGGTAGCTCGGTGGTCTGTGGTTGTGCCGGGAAGGGCATCCGGTGTAAAAACAGTTGCCAAGTCTTCGTGCAGCTTAGTTCCCTGTGGCGACCCCTGAAGAATGGAGCAGCTGAAAGAAGAACAAATAAAATTTAAAAAAAATGTAATTTCTTTGCACTATATTTTAGGATTGCAGTGGATCTGTTTATTTAACTTTGTTAAATGTTTGCAGCAGATGGACAGTGGTTGAACTGACAGAAATAATTATATCACAAGCCTATTATAACAAACTAATGTCAGATGCTGTGCATTTTTAAAACAACATATAAACCATATTGCACATGATCAAGTACTCTACTTTAGATATAAAGATGGTTTAACCATGCAAATAAATTTGTCTGTCAAAGTACAAACTAGTGCTTAAAAACCAAATATATTCTCATATTTTCTGTTGTCACATCTTTTTTATGATTATTAAAAGCACTAGACAGGTGGATTTATGTATCTTTTTTGCCTAGGCTCGTAGTAATAGGATTATTCAAAGCCCCTGATCTGATGTAAGGATCCTGATGTTAAAGTCTGAGAACAAGAATATTTTAACATATTCAAATAGACATATTAATCACAGACTAATCATATAATAATTGGCCCTGAAAATATATATTTACTTTGCTTCTTAAATCCTAATGATAGAATAAAATACGAGTTAGATGACTAACTGCTAGCAATACGTCGCCATCATTTTGATTAGCTTTGCTCAGCTCATCTTCTGTTTGCGTGTCTTGCTCAAGCTTTACCTAGTTAAGCCTGTCTCACTGAGTCAGTGTTTAAACCTGGCCACTGCAGCCTGTGTATTTACCTGCAATAAGCTGAGCTAGTTCTGCATGACTGATTTTGATTCATTTTCTGTGATTACCATGCGGCTTTGCACCATTTCACACACTGCCTCCCAAATGACCTTGTCTGTGGCTCTTCCTTTAGCGGTGACGTTTGACAAATGAAAGTACTGAATGTTCTTTGTGCCTCGGCATATTTAACAAAAGAAAATAAAAAAGTTCTCACTGAACACTCGAGTATTTTTATCACACTTTTTTTCAAAATAATACTCACAAAAATGAGCGGCACCATTGTCTTTACAACTACACACCAAAAAGAAGCTTTGATGCTCCCGTTTAAAAAAGTTATCTAGTGAGTTTCAGAAGTTGTAAAACTTGTGCAAATGCAACTAAACGTTACATGGTCATTTAAAGCATTTTATTTGTTTTATTATTATTATTATTATTATTATTACTGTATGTTTTTTTTTCCTTTATTTTATCAAGAAGATCCTATGGGGATAAATCATCTCACTCTATAGGGAGTCCTTGTCAAGATGGTGGGAAAATGCAGATAAAGAGCAATCATATAAGAGTCTCAGTACAAGAAGAACAGTGTCAGTAAAAACACAATGCAGAAAAATAAAATAAAGCATGGTTTAATAAAATATATAAGGAAAGGGACAATACACAATAAGACCAATTTATTCCACAAACAGTTAAATCTAAGATAACTAAGGCTATTTTTTTATTATGAGTATAAATATCAACAGATGTTGCTTTGTGTACATTTATATCTATTTGAAATACTGGTGCTAATTAAATATGGTGTTGATGCACAAAGATGCTTGAAACAGTTGATTCCGCAGCTAAACACTGGTCACAGTGAACACAAACATCTTTATGAATGTCTTCATGCTCTCTGTCCAACTTTTTACATTGCAGCATGGTATGTCAAAAATGGTCTAAACAGCAGTTGAAGTGACACTACTACTTTAGGTGCTTTATTGTGTTTTGTAAAAAGTAAGAACACAATAGACCGAAAAATTTGTAGGTAGAAGAACAATCGTATTATACCTTCACTTGTATTATACATAAAACATCAAAATCAAAGCAGCAGAAATTTTCCTATATAATTTTCTAAAACATATTGAGGAATTTCAGTTAAATCGACAGACAAACTCATAAAACACACATCCTGATGCATGCACAATAATCCAGGTAGAAAAATCTAAAAAAAAGTTACATCTGGTTCTCTGGACACTCAAAAAAACAAAACAAAGCAAAACAACAAAAAAAATGTAGAAATGTTTTGTCTTTCATTCGAAAGACTTCCTCAGTCTGAGGTGCTGTATTCAGCTCAGTCTTATAAATAGCACCTTCTCAGAGTGGATCAACCAGTTTGCTGCTGACAACCAAAACCAGCTGATCACATGATCAAGGAGGACCATCAGCCAGGGTGCTAATGATCCATTGTTAGGCTGATGGTCCTTCTTGGTCATGTGAGCAGCTGGTTTTG